GAGGCAGAGCTGCTCTGCCCCCGGCTTCCTGGAATCAGCCGCTGATCAGTTTCAGCAGCAGCTGACTTGGGGACGCCCGGGGTTCTTAAGTTGAATCTGTATGTAAGTCAGAACTGGCATCCAGATTCAGCCGCTGCTGAAACTGATCAGTTCCAACAGCGGCTGAATCTGGACGCCAGTTCCGACTTACATACAGATTCAACTTAAGAACAAACCTACAGTCCCTATCTTGTACGTAACCCGGGGACTGCCTGTACTTGAAAGCTGTTATCATGTGGAGCAACTTTAAGACACTAGGTTTCTCCTACTGAAGAAAGACATGAGTTATTGCTGGATGTGGTGTGCTGAGGCATCTAAGGCAGCCATTAATCTCTTATGAAAAAATTCCCATCAGATTTATGGTGTATATGAAACTAAAAGGGTATACCAGAAATTGGAAAGAAATCCTTTGGAAACTTGAGCAAGAATAATTTCCTCTCTATTGGTGCTTTTAAACTATCTTCTTAAAATCTATGGAAAGGATACAACTAATCATCTAAATAATGATTCAAAGATAGTTCCAGTGGAAAGGACAAAAGGTAAAAAGGCTTCTGTAGCTGCACTAATAAACCACTACTGAGAAGTTGTGTGTCAGGGAAAGGAAAAGTTAATTTTGGTAATACAGGTTGAACCTCTCTAGCTGGACACCTTCAGGACCTGACTGGCACTGAACCAGAGAATTTGCTGAATCACAGGAGTTCGATATTGTCTAGCAACATTACCAACACCTCCACTGCTCACTGGGCTCTTTGAAGATATTAGGGGTAAATTAGAGCTAAACAACACAGAACTCTAAGAGCCAGCTATAAACTTTATGGGACTATGAGACACTTAGTCATACACATGGTAAGTGGACATCTGGTTAACTAGAATAATAAAATACTGGGACTGGAAGGGACCTCGAGAGGTCATCGAGTCCAGTCCCCTGCCCCCATGGCAGGACCAAATACTATCTAGACCATCCCTGATAGACATTTATCTAACCTACTCTTAAATATCTCCACAGATGGAGATTCCACAACCTCCCTGGGCAATTTACTCCAGTGTTTGACTCCCCTGACAGTTAGGAACTTTTTCCTAATGTCCAACCTAAACCTCCCTTGCTGCAGTTTAAGCCCATTGCTTCTTGTTCTATCCTCAAAGGCCAAGATGAACAAGTTTTTTCCCTCCTCCTTATGACACCCTTTTAGATACCTGAAAACGGCTATCATGTCTCCCCCCTCCCCCAATCTTCTCTTTTCTAAACGAAACAAACCCAATTCCTTCAGCCTTCCTTCATAGGTCATGTTCTCTAGACCTTTAATCATTCTCATTGCTCTTCTCTGGACCCTCTCCAATTTCTCCACATCTTTCTTGAAATGCGGTGCCCAGAACTGGACACAATACTCCAACTGAAGCCTAACCAACGCAGAGTAGAGCGGAAGAATGACTTCTCGTGTCTTGCTCACAACACACCTGTTAATACATCCTAGAATCATGTTTGCTTTTTTTGCAACAGCACCACACTGTTGACTCATTTACATCTGACATCATGCCAGATCACAGATGTTGCCAGACCAGAGTGTGCTGTACTAGAAAGATTCAACCTGTAGTTAAAAAACCCCACAGCTTTAGTCTTATGCAATGTGATGAGAACCTGAGGGGGGGGGGAGCGGAAGAGAGAGAGAACGACACCATTTATGAGTAGTAGTAGATTTTTCCTAGATGTAGCAAGTTTCCTTGATAAATTTGCAAAGCTGACTTAAGTAGATGGGAAGGAACTATTTTTGTTTACTGGAAAACTGTAGTCAAACTTTTCTAAAAATTATCAAACTAAACACCCTTTATTGAGGACCAAGGGACAGACTTAAGTCTAAACTCTAAGGCTACGGCTACACTTTGAACTTTTTCCGGACGAGGAAATTCAAATGGAGTCCTCATATGCATATCTCACTCATTTACATATTCTCTTCCAATCCTTTTTGCGGAAGAGGTTTTTGCGCAAACAAGTGCTGTGTAGACGGCACCTTTTGAGCAAAAACCCTGAGGAATATGGGTTCTTGCGCAAAAGGGAGTTTTGCGCAAAAAGGTACCATCTACACAGTGCTTTTTTGTCAAGAGGGTGCCATTACACGATAAAACCAATGAACTCGCTGGCTGTAATGCCATTGAAACAAAAAATAAAATTAACTAGACTACTTCTTGTCTCCGAAATAAGAATGATTCTTTAAAAAGATAATCACCCCTAAAATATGTATTTACACTTTAAAGATGTTATAGCAGTGTCACCATAATCTTTTAAGAAAAACCACAAGTGTTTTTAATATATTGGTTAATAAGAATGAACAACTAGCCACTTTCTCCACTTGGTGTATTGCAAAAGTTGCTAAGTTGCTCTCTACTAAAATACCTCCCTCAATTTAGCTAGCGTACTTCCATTTTCAACAACTTTATTTTCAAATCTAAGCCTTTCTTCAGAGAAGGCCAGTCATGCCACATTGTGCTATAATCCTGATGTACATAAAAATAAACGAAATAAAAAAAACTTACTTTAACATCCACCATTTTTCACTTTTGAACATGTCACCAAAGATGAAAGGCTAAAGCCCAAACAACCGTACCACCAAGCCACATCATTTATCTCATTTACTGAAATGAATTAGATCCCTAAAACAGGATGTTTAAATAGAACCATACCAAGAATATGCTTGTAGAATGACCTTGTGAAGTAGATGTTGACCAGCTGCCTGTGATTCAGAGCTAAACCCAGGATCTGTCCAGCAAATCGAAAGTAGTTCAAGTGATCGGGATTTACAGAAGAGTTGCTGTTTGGCTGGAAAGTTGTTCCTATAAAACAAAAGGTTCTATTATACTTATAGTTTTGACCGGTATCTTGCAACTCCTGCTTATATATATTTTTACTGTAATTTGAATCGGAAATATACTCAGCAGTTGAAATTTGTTTGTAGGATAAAAACAAAAATAAACGCCCACTCTATAACCTAATAGATTTTCTTGGTGTAGACAATAAGGCAGAGTATATATATAAAAAAAGAAAAAACAGGATACAACTTGTAATTACTTTTTGGCAACTTGTCAGTGTTTTAGTTTTAATATTTCACACAGCTTCATAACATTTCAAACAAAAAAGTTACACATTTTCCGAGACCACTCAATCTATTAAATTGGAGAAAAGTTTGAATTCCCTTCTTCAGAAATATTTACACTATTGATTGTTTGGAGTTAAAGTATAATTAAAGGCCATCCAGACAAATAATAAAACATGCTTAGCAAAAACATGGACAACTTACAATAGTAAAAATGAGACACTGTGAAAAAGTAGAAGGAAATATTTCTTCGTATAACTGAGATTTAAGCATGTAGTTTCAAGTTCTCAATATTTGTCTATGCAACAAAAAAATTGAAGCAAATTCTCCAGATTTTTACAATTAGCATACATTGTTCAACAGACTATAATTAGAGCCAAACAACTACTTTAAGTGTAATTATACCAGGGTGGCCAATACTTTTTAACGGGGGAGGGGGGGTAACTTCACACATTTTTTAAGTGGCCCCAGGCTGCCTCAGAAGGGGGGTGGGTCTCAGGTGGAAGGGGCGGAACCAAGACACTTGCGTGCTCCCCCACCCACACACCCTGATTGCCCCCAGTGCCTAGAGAGAGCTGCCAGCTGTTCTGAACAGCTGGCAGTTTCCCCTTAAGCATCATGCGCCCCTCACAGCGTGGGAGGAGACTTTGTACACTCCCCCAGCCCAATGCCAATCAGGGCCTTGGGGAGAGTGCGAAGTCCCTCAACCCCTACCCCAGCCCCTGTTCTGAACAACTGGAAGCTAACTTTAGGCACTATACGCTCTTGGAGAGAGGAGGAAACTTTGCACGCTCCCCTGTCCCTAAGGTTTTGATTGGCCTGGGAGTGCGGGAGCAGCAGGGCATCCATAGGCTGGATCAACCTACTTGGCAGGCCGGATCTGGTCTGCAGAGACTCTCTTGCCCACCCCTGAGCTATTTTCACCTGTAGTATACTTCAAAGCTATTTTTAGTCCTACACCCATGTAGTTAATCTATTTGTTTTGATTATATGAAACACTGAAGGGTATACATGATCGATAAATAAAAAAAAATTGTTATTGTTTTTTAAACACAATCTAATTCAGATTATAATTTCCATACTATTGTTCTGCTGAATGAAGTGATTTTGAAAAGAAAAATGGGTTGAATGGAATTTTAAAAAGACAATCGCAGGGACTTTTAAATATGCCTTCATTATAAAGTAATCATAGAATCATAGAATAATAGGACTGGAAGGGACCTCGAGAGGTCATCGAGTCCAGCCCCCCGCCCTCAAGGCAGGATCAAGCTCCGTCTACACCATCCCTGACAGATGTCTATCTAACCTGTTCTTAAATATCTCCAGAGAGGGAGATTCCACCACCTCCCTTGGCAATTTATTCCAATATTTTACCACCCTGACAGTTAGGAATTTTTTCCTAATGTCCAATCTAAACCTCCCCTGCTGCACTTTAAGCCCATTACTCCTTGTCCTGTCCTCAGAAACCAAGAGGAACAAATTTTCGCCTTCCTCCTTGTGACACCCTTTTAGATATTTGAAAACCGCTATCATGTCCCCCCTTAATCTTCTTTTTTCCAAACTAAACAAGCCCAGTTCATGAAGCCTGGCTTCATAGGTCATGTTCTCTAAACCTTTAATGAATAGGTCCCACCCCCTACAGTACTTATGTACGGGCATAACTTTACTTACATATGCAATTTCATGGCTATTCACATGGCTAAAACAGTAAACATACTTTAAGTGTTTGCAGGAGTAGAGTTTAACCATTTTTTTCCTCTATTTGAAGCATGGTGACAGGAAAGTTCAATCCCTTCCACACACCTTCCTAAAAAATGTTTTGCAGCTTTCAGGATTCAACATTAGCTGGCTGGGTTCTCTTTGCAGTTTCCTAGGAAGCTGATAGGAGTAAGTGAGGCAGGCCCCCTAGAAATGTTAAATTAAGATTAACTAATTGCATGGTTGGTTAGTTAACCTTTCTAGGAGGAGAAGACCCTATTTGGACAGACTGGCTAACCTAGGACTTTAAACCAGATTTGACAGGGACAGGTAAGCAAAGCCCACAGGTAAGTGGAGAACATGGAGACCTAGGAGATGGTTTGGAAATGAGAGGGAGCATGGGTTATAATGGCAGAGAGAAAGGAGGGTCAGGGTAAAACTGGGAGGCAAGGTCAAATCAGTATCTTAGATGCCTATATACAAATGCAAGAATTATGGGTAATAAGCAGGAAGAACTAGAAGTGTTAATAAATAAGTACAATTATGACATTGTTGGCATCACAGAAATTTGGTGGGATAATACACGATTGGAATGTTTGTATGGAAGGGTACAGCTTGCTCAGGAAGGATAGACAGGGAAAAAAGGGAAGAGGTGCTGCCTTATATATTAAAAATGAACACATTTGGAGTGAGGTGGAGATGGACATAGGAGACGGAAATGTTGAGAGTCTCTGGGTTAGGCTAAAAGGGGTTTAAAACAAGGGTGATGTCATGCTAGGAGTCTACTTCAGGCCACCTACCCAGCTGGAAGAAGTGGATGAGACTTTTTTTTTTTTTTAAAACAACTAACAATATCATCCAAACCCCAAGATTTGGTGGTGATGGGGGATTTCAACTATCCAGATATATGCTGGGAAAATAACACAGCGGGGCACAGACTATCCAATAAATTCTTGGACTGCATCAGAGACAACTTTTTATTTCGGGAGTTTGAAAAAGCTACCGGAGGAGAGGGGGGGGGACGGTTCTAGATTTGATCCTAACAAATAGGGAGGAATTGGTTGAGAATTTGAAAGTGGAAGGCATCTTGGGTGAAAGTGAACATGAAATCATAGAACACACAATTCTAAGGGAGGGTAGAAGGGAGAACAGCAAAATAAAGACAATGCATTTCGGGAAGGCGGATTTTGGTAAGCTCAGAAAGCTGATAGGTAAGGTCCAATGGGGATCAAGACTGAGGGGAAAAACAATTGAGGAGAGTTGGCACTTTTTCAAAGGGACATTGTTAAGGACCCAAAAGCAAGCTATTCTGCTGCATCGGAAAGATAGAAAATATGGCAAAAGACCGCCTTGGCTTAACTACAAGATCTTGAATGATCTAAAAATAAAAAAAGGAGTCCTATAAAAAATTGAAAGTAGGACAAATCAAAAAGGATGAATATAGGAAAACAACACAGGAATGCAGGGGTAAGTTTAGAAAGGCAAAGGTAAAAAATGAGCTCAAACTAGCTACAGGAATAGAAGGAAACAAGACAACTTTTTATAAATACATTAGAAGCAAGAGGAAGACCAAGGACAGGGTAGGCCCACTAGTCAGTGAGGAGGAAGAAACAGTAACAGGAAACTTGGAAATGGCAAAGATGCTTAATGACTTCTTTGTTCAGTCTTCACCGAGAAGTCTGAAGGAATGCCTAACATAATGAATGCTAGTGGGAAGAGGGTAGTTTTAGAAGGTAAAATAAAAAAAGAACAAGTTAAAAATCACCTAGAACAGTTAGATGCCTGCAAGTCACCAGGGCCTGGTGAAATGCATCCTAGAATACTCTATCAGCTCCGTGAGGAGGTATCTTTGGAAAAATCATGGGAGACAGGAGAGATTCCAGAGGACTGGAAAAGGGCTAATATAGTGCCCATCTATAAAAAGGGAAATAAGAACAACCCAGGAAACTACAGACCAGTTGGTTTAACTTCTGTGCCAGGGAAGATAATGGAGCAAGTAATTAAGGAAATCATCTGTAAACACTTGGAAGGTGGCAAGGTGATAGGGAACAGCCAGCATGGATTCGTAAAGAATACATCATGTCAAACCAATCTGATAGCTTTCTTTGATAGGATAACGAGTCTTGTGGATAAGGGAGAAGCGGTGGATGTGGTATATCTAGACTTTAGTAAGGCGTTTGATATGGTCTCGCATGATATTCTTAACAATAAACTAGACAAATACAACTTAGATGGGGCTACGATAAGGTGGGTGCATAACTGGCTGGAAAACTGTACTCAGAGAGTAGTTATTAATAGTTCACAATCCTGCTGGAAAGGTATAACAAGAGGGGTGCTGCAGGGGTCTGTTTTGGGACCGGCTCTCTTCAATATCTTCATCAACGATTTAGATATTGGCATAGAAAGTACGCTTATTAAGTTTGCAGATGATACCAAGCTGGGAGGGGTTGCCACTGTTCTGGAAGATAGAGTCGTAATTCAAAATGACCTGGACAAAAATGGAGAAATGGTCTGAGGTAAACAGGATGAAGTTTAATAAAGACAAATGCAAAGTGCTCCACTTAGGAAGGAACAATCAGTTTCACACATACAGAATGGGAAGCAACTGTCTAGGAAGGAATATAGTGAACATGATCTATGAAGGAAGGCTGAAGGAATTGGGTTTGTTTAGTTTAGAAAAGAGAAGAATATCTAAAAGGGTGTCATAAGGAGCAGGGAGAAAACTTCTTCATCTTGGCCTTTGAGGATAGAACAAGAAGCAATGGGCTTAAACTGCAGCAAGGGAGGTTTAGGTTGGACATTAGGAAAACTTTCCTAACTGTCAGGGTAGTCAAACACTGGAATAAATTGTCCAGGGAGGTTGTGGAATCTCCATCTGTGGAGATATTTAAGAGTAGGTTAGATAAATGTCTATCAGGGATGGTCTAGACAGTATTTGGTCCTGCCATGGGGGCAGGGGACTGGACTCTCGGGGTCCCTTCCAGTCCTAAGTATTCTATGATTGATGGGATATCCATCAACTATTTGATTTAGTCTATAAGGGCACCTCTGCCTTTGATCTGTAGCAAGAGCCCCACAGGGAACATGGGCCAGAGGGGGACTCTCCCACTGGCCCCAAACTCCCTGCGGCACCTCAGCCTTTAAAATGTACAAGAGCCTCAATGGGGTTCTTGTACACTTCAAAAGGGAATGCAGGACCAGCGGGGGACTGGCCCCACATTCCCTGTGGTGTTTGAGACTTTGAAATTTACAGGAGCCCCACTGGGACTCTGTACGTTTTAAAAGCAGAATTGCAGGAGCGGCGCAAGCAGAGACTACTTCAGTCCCCGCTCATACCGTTTCCGCTATGCCTTCATCTCTTCCTCCCCTCCGCCCCCGGAGAGACAGTGCTGGGGGAATAGGCTTTTAAGCCACCTCCCCCCAGCACCGGCTCCTGCTCCCCATCCCTTGCTGCCTCTGGGTATGTCTAGACTACATGGCTCCATCGACAGAACCATGTAAACTAGTTTACCCAGCATAGGCAAAGAAGCAGGGATTTCAATAATCCCCGCTTCATTAAACATGGCCTCCACACTGTGCTGACGATCAGCTGATCTGGCACAGTGCGGTAGTCTAGACACGGATCGGTCGGCTGGGGAAGCCTTTGACGACCGATTGATTCCTTATGCCTCATGAAACAAGGCTTGCAGAATTGGTCGGCAAAGGCTTCCCCATGTAGATTCTTTGCCTATGCCGGGTAAACTAGTTTACATGGCTCTGTCGACAGAGCCATATAGTCTAGACATACCCTCTGATGGGACCGCAAGAGGAGAGGAAGTGATTAGTCACATCACTAGTCAACTATCCAATAAACTTACGTATCTCGTATAGTGGAGTAGTCACTTACATCTCTATTCCCCACTGCTGAAGACAGTTTTGCAGCTAGATCTTTTGCAGAGGAGACAAGAATCCAGGCACAAGAGAGCAGTTCCGGGGAGACGAACTGCTATTTTTACTGTAGAAATCAGCTGTGCGACTGAGGTCAAGAAGTGATAAAAATCTCCCCAGGTCCTACCTGTACCAGCCCAGACATACAAGTAACTGTAAGGGGAAATACAGCACTCTCCTGCTTCTGCTGTGTGAGGTATGTCTTGCGATCAGGAGAAATAAAGGAAGATTAAACTGGGAACTCAAGAAGAGCCAAGATAAAATGTCTCTACCCATGCCAAAGAGCGAGCAATATTGGCGAGTCAGTCAGAAACACTTCAACCTACAAAAATTGCTTAGTTCTCAATTATAGTTAATGGATAGTGCACATTATTTCTTTATTAGGAAAAAATTTTCCATCCATTAAATCTTAACTGATAATGAACGAACATTATCAATCTCTTATCTGACCTTTTCTTTGGATTATTAAATTTTGCTTCAGCAAACATTCAGGTTAGAAGAACAAGATATACCAACATACCATCAGCTGACTGGGTGAACAATGCATAATCTGGATTAACTATCTCATTGGATAAGATATCAAACCATTCACGAACCACTCCTTGACCCTACATGTCAAAAGAATAAAGAGAGCATAAAAGAAATTTAATTTTACAAATGGTTTAACAAAATGAGTAACCAAAATGGAGTATTATTAACATTTCATGTAGATTCCAATTTTAGTTAGAATTAGTACAAATATTTTTATGTATATAAAAAAAATGCATATACCCACCATGCCTTCTTCACCATGGAAACGCACAGCAATCCCCTGCTTTAGTTTTGCACAATTTGCTTTAGACACAACTTCACAACTACTCCTAAAAATAGAATCTAAATACAAAACACTAATTAATTTTGTATCTTAAAAGAAAGAACCACAAAATATTATGCATTTTATATATGCACTCTTCTCCTTGCAAGATAATACCTCTATGTACCAACAGGATGTCATTTTCATTGACGGGTCTGTGCACCATATCAGAATCTGGTTGTCCAGAATGCAAATGTTCATAGAACCACTCACAGCGATCTTTGAAGGGCTACAAAACAAGTGAAACATGCCCAACATATTAGTCGATCATTTTCAAAACTGGTGGTCAAAGCATTGATAAAATCACTTTTAATATTAACTGCCACTGAAGGACTTCATTACAGAACAACAGACATTTCAACAAGATTTCACAAAGAGAATAAAAGTAAAATCAAGCACTAATCCTACTAAAAGAATACACATTTTTATAGCTTATTTCTGCATTTGGGAAAGACAACAATTAACAATTCATACGCTTATGTCCCTGGCACTCTGAACATTAAATTTGTAATTGAATACATTTGCAACCAATTAGTTCACTTTCAAATTCAATAATGAATTCTCATGAACTAGGTTTTTTTTGAAACTGTCCTTCACATTGTCTAGTTAGCATATACATATGCTTCCATCTTTATTCCTCATTTATCCTCCACGCTAATGAGGCTATAATCAATACTACCTGGCAATAATAAGTCTTCACTGAATAGGATGATGGAAGAGATCATCTGTAAATAAGTAAACTAAGTATACTTATCTAAACCATCTACATGATTTGTTAGTCTTTAAAGTGCTACTAAACTATTTGTTGTTTTTAAAGTTTTTCCTGTTACAGACTAACTCGACTACCTCTGAACCTTTTAAACTAAGTATGTTTTTTAAGTGATTTACTATGAGATAAATTCAGTATGTCTGGTTTGGTTTTGACCCAAGTTAGGCCCTCATCATACAAGCACAACCATGTTTTTGAAACCAGTTCATCAAACATGAGACCCACTTCTGTGTTTGTCTCAGTACATCCTTTCCATTTCACAGCTACAGTTAAAATACAAGTGTGCATGTGAACTTACTATGCTATCTGCATCAGTGTATTCTGGCAAATATGAACAGCTATCCCACACATCTCAGCAGGCACCAGAAAGCATAGAGAAAATGCCAGCAGCAGCATTGGAAGTTATATGCACAGGGAAGTAGGACTGGCCTCACCAATTACACCAGCAGGCTTAGACATCCTTTCCACACACAGCAGAAAAAGAATAAATGCAGAATGGATTACAGGAAGACAATCATATGGCAAACTAGGTTTCTGGAAGAATACCACACTGTTGGTTATCGAACGTGGCAGCTGAGTATGAACAAAGTTGTGGAGACAAATCATGTTTATGGCTAAGTGGTTACAAACTTATTCAAATGCAATAGCAAAGACAAGGCCTTAATCTGAAACTGCTCTAGTTTTCTGTTTCCTATAGCCAACCATTTAATAAGGGAAAAGTATCATGGACCCACCTCCACTCACAACACACAAACCCTGCATTGCTAGATTCTCAATGTTTTATTGTAGGGTCCATTAATCACTGATTTAGAAATTCAATATTTAAAACCTTATTCATCTGGTGTTTTATCTACCATTGCAGGTTTATCTTGGAACTAAAAAGCAGAAGCTATTGTAAGATAGAAACAAAAAACTAGTATAGCCCCCTTGATAAAAAAGTCATTGAGGTCAACAAAATGACAATAAAAGATATGATTTACAGTAATTTAAAGTACTTTTGAGACCTCCAATTAAACAACAAAGACAACCTAAGGAAACAGAAACAGACAGGATTCCCTAGAAACCCATATAAAAGGACATCTTTTTCAGCAGATCTCACCAGGAATGTAGTTCCATCTTGTTTGACTTATGACATTAAAACAACTCTGAGCAATTGTTAGGGGATTCCGCTGAGACCGAGGTCTGAAAAAAGGATGTGCTCTCTCCTCTCTAATTATTTCTTAGCAGAAGTACAACATGTGTTTACTTGTTTTAGTGGCTAGGATATGGGGGTTGGCTGAACAGAATATGGAATACAATTGAAAATCATCCAGGAACTCTCAATAGCATACCCCTCAAAACCTCTTCTGAAAAGTTAGTCATATTGTGATAGAAGTGGGTTGATAAAAATCTTTAATTTCTTAAAATAAACCTCTTGCTTTGTGAACTATGGAGGAGAGGGAAATCCTCTCCACACTAGGGATGTAAAGGCCTAGTCGACTATTCGATAAGCAAATGCTCTATCAGATAGAGACAGGAAGTGTGGGCACTTCAAAGAGGCAACACTGCTTATAGCCTGGGACCACACCTGGGGCTCCACATGGCACTGCTGCTTTAAAACGCCATGTGCACCCCAGACCCAGCTTGAGGTGTCCCCAGGCTGCACGTGGCATTTCAAAGCAGCAGCCCTATGTGGAGCCTGGGATCAGTTGAAGACTCCCCAGCTATCCTGGGCTCCATGAGGCACTGCCGCTTTGAAACACCATTGGGAGCCCAGCAACAGCAGCACACCCACTTTCTTGTCTTCCCTTCCTTCCCCATGCTCTGGGGAGGCTGTGTGTGTGGGTGCGGGTCCAGTGCTACCCAGAGATCCTCAACCCTGTCCTCTAGAGACACCAGCCAGCACCCTGCTCCTATACCCTATTTTCCACCCAGATTCTGCACCCCCATCCCTTTCCCACTCACTGGCAACCCTGTCCCAAACACTGGATCCCTCATTTTTGGCCGCACCTCAGAGGATAGAGGAGCCTACAAATTCCACTAACCCTGGAACTCAGAAGAGTTAATCTAACCTGAGGACTTGAACCTCAGTCCTACCTACCCCATCCCCTCTCCATGGGGCTGAAGTGCCAGGGGAGTGAAGTGCCTCAGTTGGGGCTACATCAGTGAGGCTTGGGGAGTTTTGAAGGGGTTGTGTTTTTGCATCTCACTTGGGTGGTCCCCGACTGATTTTTCTGAGGGTCAGTGGCCCGACACAAAACAGGTTCCCCGTCCCTCCCATAAATTAAGACAACACTGAAATGTTTTGTTACATAATAATTGTATTTTAAAAATGAAGCCTGGCCAACAAGCCTCCAACTGGAGTCAAGCCTCCATCTGGCTGCAGCACTCATAACACTCCTGCGCCCCCTCCACAGGCTCCAACCCTGAGCCTATCATACACCCCGAACCTCCTGCCCTGAGCCACTCACATCCCCAAACTCCTGTACCCCCCACATCCCCAGTCTTCTGCCACAACACTCTTCCACCATCCACACACTGCAAATCTGTGTCCTGAGACTATAATATTCCCAACACCCCCTGCCCTGAGCCCCTCATACACCTCAACCCAAACTTCTGCACCCTCACATCCATAAGCCTGGGACTTGCTCAGCACCCAAACCCTCCACCTGACCCCAACACTCTTCAGCCTGGAGCCTCCTCCCTGAACCAGCATCCCCTTCTCCACCTCCGCCTGCACCCAAATTCCCTCCCAGAGCTTGCACCTCTCACCCCTTCCCACACGCAAACCTCTCATTCCCACCCCAGAACCCGCACTTCCTGTCTCAACCCAGTAAGAGTGAGTAAGGGCAGGGGACAGCAAATGATGGAGAGGAGGGGAATGGAGTGGGTGAGGCTTCAATGAAGGGGTGGGGTCTTGGGGAAGGGATGGGGTAGATCTTGGCTTGCCCTGACATTTAAAAAGTGATCATGGGTGTAAAAGGTTGAAGACTATCTGCTAAAGAGAGCAAGGGAGTGTCCTGGCAACATATCTTACTGAAGTGTACAGCCTTAGTAGAGTTATAAGTTGAAGAGATAGATTAATTATTATACAGGTATGGGCCCCACAGCTGGTCAAAGTTGTCTCAAATGTAATTCAGTTATTTTTAAGTTAAAAAAAGTTCACCCTACCAAATATTACAACCTATTTGCTTAAGCTCAAATACCCAAGGCAGTTAACCTTCACTCTTTAGAGCCATACAGTATCTCATAAGTGTTCAAATGAAAGTGTTATAGTAAAGATGAAAATAAACTATGCTTAACATTTACCTGTGCTTTTATGATGTGCATGAATCTGGACATCAGTTCAGGGCACTCAAGAAGAAAATGAAAGTGGTCAAAAATTATTTTGGGGTTTCTGAAAGAAATATGTTTTAGATTGGAAGTTTACTATTTGCAAATGCACAGATTTAATCAAAGTCTTACAACAGAACTGACCATACCTAAAAAAGAATTTATAAGAGCTAACAAAAAATATGTATTGCAGCATATTTTCAAGAAACACTGCCACTGCATAAAGTGAATTTTTTGGATTCACTTTGTGAGAGGCTTGCATTACCTCATCCCTTGCCAATGTAGGTAAAAGAGACTGTCTAGAGAGGACATGGTGGTTGACTGCACAATCCTCAGAGGAACCTTGGGTGCAGCCAAGCATAAAGAGAAGACAAACTAGGTTGCAAGTTTCATTCAGCATTCCTTTTGGAGGGGTAAGTTTTGACCTGTCAGGTGTACTGTGTTTAGAATAGGGTAGGAAATAGCACCTACTCACAAACCAATAGTTCTAGTTACTTCCTAACAAGTTTTGGGATACGAAATAGAGAATGATTGTTTACATACTCATTTATTTAAGTCTCATTTCTGAAATTGTATGTGTACATATTACACCAATGCACAGGAGTACTTCCACAGAGTCCAGCAGGCCTACTCATGTGCATAAAGTTAGAGGTATCTGGAATACATGCTGAATCAGGACCGTACACACAGCAACATACACCTCTGAACCACAATTAAATATGAAAGTGTAACATTTTAATCAAATAAAAATATTAAAATTCTGAAGGCTTACCGGTTAACAAAGCACTTAAGAACATTGTCATGTTTGCAGACAAATTCTATAAAACGAGGTGATGTCATCCTGTAAAAACACACAAAATGTACTCCATTGTAAATTATGCATTCAAAAATCTAAAACTGTACAACAAACCTTAAAATTACAAGTAAAAAAAGGTCTATGTAATCCCTCTATCATATTGCAGCACAGGATTTTTCAGGTATACAATTAACTAGATACAAGATTAAAAAACACTACTGAAAATGCAATGTAAAGCAATCAAGGCAGCAAGTGGTATCAAAACCTGGCCATGCAGCCTGTCTGGTAACTGCTTTCCTGGATGTATGGTTTATGGTGCAGCCCAACTGCATGATCACATTTCTTCCTGCAGGACTTTTGCTTCTTTCACTAAGCAGATGGGAATGTATGCACTACATAATACTAGGAATATATTAGTGTAGTCGATTAACCAATTAACTGGTAAGCAAAAGCTTATAGCATTAACCTATGACTACATACATTTCCTCCCCTCCCCACTAGTAAATTTTTAGCAGGCTGGCCAGCAGCCTGACTCAGTGCTGGCTTGCAAGAGGTACAGGACCTAGCCCTCCGTGGCTCTGCATTTAAAGTGTAGCAGGAGCCAGGTGGACAGGCAGCCTGTCTCAGTTCCGGCTCATACTGGATCCGGGAACTCAGACTGCCCCTAAACAGGGGCTGCTGCCACCTCGCGTTGCTGCCCCCTTATCAGAGACAGAAGCATTGGGTGACAGGTAGCCAGTCCACAAAGGGTAACTGGCTTTTAAACAGGCTCCCCTCGTGGACCAGCTCCCATCTGGCACCCCTCGCTGCCACCTCAGAAACAGAGACAGAAGCAGGAAGTTGGGGCCCAAGTGCATTGGCTGTCGCCCCTGAGGACTGTAAAATAGTCGACTAACTGGTAAGAATTCATTAGATTGCTTGACTATTATATTAATCGATATTTAACATCCCTATATAATACAATTTATCATGTACCTTTCTATACATGTTGAACCACCACGGGACACACTGGTCCAGCAACATCCGTGGACCTGCCAGACTATGGATGTTGCTGGATTATAGATCCCCAATGGCAGAGGTTGCCAAGACTAGTGGGGTAAATAGGGCCACTGGAGCTCCAAGAGCAGCAAAGCTAGCAGGACCATGGGAGCTTGCAAGGTGATGGAGCCCAACAGGGCTACCGCCACCATGTGGCTGAGAAGAAGAGCCCATTGGGAAGGCTGGCAACCTCCACAGGCTTCCCCTGGTCTGAGACAGGTCAGGTCATGAGGGTACAATAGTACTGTAATATTAAGTACCACCTAATATCTTGATTTTAATATTTAAATATACAGATGATGTTAACATTGTGCTATGTTTTCTGGGAAGCTTTTAACTCTTTTACCTAGATCTCAAAGGTATTAACATCTGAAGGTAAATAAAACATTTAATACAAAAACGAGTATCAAGAGTTTGTCAATACATACATCACTGCAGCTGCACCACTGCTCTGCATCACCAAGAGGCGATAGCTATGCTGATGGGAGAAGCCCTCCCGATAATATAGCATTCTCTACCTTGCATGTTAGTTCAGCATAACCGCATCATTCAAATACATGAATTTTTCAATTAAGGAGCAATGTAATTATGATGAAAGTCTGTAGTATAGACTGACCAAAGACATTAATATGATCATAATTTATTTTCCAAAACATACTCAATCTTTAGAAAGAGTGGGAGACTATAAAAGTTTGATTCTTTATTCAACAAACAAAGGATTTGTTGCCCAACATGTCAGAAAATCTGATCAGCCATCAATTAATTTTGCTCTGCTGGGGATATTCTCTGGATTCAAATCTAATCTTTTATAGTTAGACTAGAAGTTTTTTTATTACTCCTACTGGTGAAGTATATTTAGGAAAGCAACATAATTTTATTTGAAATTTGAGTTTGTGAAATAAGCATTGCCTGGAATATACAATCAAATTATCTAGCCTTAGAAAAACAGAGAGCAGCAGTAGAAGCTCTTACTAAGGAGCAACCTCTGCCTGTGGAGCACCCAAGGTCTGCTGCAGATAGCTGTGCTCTCCCCTCCATGTTACCAGTGAACCAGATATCCAGTTAATGTTTCACATCCCTAACTCTTACACTATCCCTCCAAAACAGTGTTCTGCTTCTAGGGCAAGAAGCATATTCTCAAGCCAAGTTCAATCCTTTATGTCCAATTAACAAGAAGAGTTCAATTATGATGGAGACACTTTTCTACTAACTAGGTGTTGAACTGAGACAACCAATCAATTCATATGGGCCATTAGAACAGATGTTTTATGGTAATAAATTTTTGGGGTCTGCTAACCTGGGACTGAATTCATAATGGGTGAGAGGAATTCTGCTCTGGTGCTTATTTTTGAATAAAATGACAATTTTTGCATGGGGGGAGGTTAACATGAAAATGATGTGAAACCCAATTTTCACATGTGGAATATGAAGGGGAAGTAATCAATTGCAGGAGATCATGTCTATCCACAAATATCATATGTAATAAGAACAAAAGAAGGCAAAAACTACTCAAGATACTCAAGGTGAGCAGAGTTGGATTGAGGGTTTTTATGAGGCAGCAGCATTAAGGAAGATATGCTGCGTTTTTTAGAAGTGTGGGGAAAATATTTTATTATTTGAACAAATAAAAGAAGCATTCAGCAATCTCTGATTGCTGATAACTAACACCATTCATATTTACACAAGAAAGCACAGAGTAATTTTAAAAAGTAAATTTTAGATAGCGAGCAGAATCCTCCTTACCCCTGAGGCATCTGACAGGAGCAGCACATATAAAACGCTTGAATGACAGCACTCAGCCTGTTTGCTGTCACTGAGATAACATCCTGGCAATCCGCACAAGCTTCCTGCTTCTTGGCAACATCATATGCTTTAGAATCTCCTGTGTCAGTAGGCAGCTTTTCTCTCCTCTCAGTTCCTGCAGCATTAAAGGCAGGCTTAAGAGTAGCATCCTGCTGGTTTGGCCCTTTCTGCTTTAGTAAAATGGAAGTAATGTTGGCAGAGTCCTTTTTGTTTTTCATCAATTCTGTAGCTATTAGAACTAGCCATTCATCTAATGAGTGCCAGAGTAATTCCAGGGGCTGCAATGCACAAGGAAATGACAAAAATGTATTTGGACATATTTTTTAATATTAAAAATAAAATCATGGCATAGATAACGACAAATATAGCATGAGTTCCATGCAAATGAAGAAGCTACTAAATTAAATTCTAATAAAGCTCATCTCATAAATGGAGTCAAGTATTTTGTCCATGCAAAATCTTTTTATGTATCCATTCGAAAATCTAAAAAGATCATAAACAATTGACAAAAAAGAAGAGAAAAATCAAGTACCTATAATGAAGCAATATACAGTGAAAGCTTTGTTATTGGGCACTCAACCAGAAAACTGTGTTAACCGGCATTGCCCCCAGCCACAATACTGTCACATCTTCAGGCGCACAAGCCTGGTTTACCATGATTGGCTTAACAATTTTTTATTTAAGACATACTAATCATCTTTAACTCAAAATAGAAATGTGAGACCAACTGCCTCACACTACAAAACTACCAATATTAAAAATTTGAGTTTTACTCTGGCTGTCCATTGGTTCTTCCTAAGTTGATGATACCCTCAGAAAACTGGAATTTTTAGATAATCAAATGCCCTAATCCACGAGCATGACAGATATCCCAGGTTTTACTGTACAGCCAACTTGTGTTTTATGTCAGCTTAAACTTATAGCTCTCTCACACATGTTGATCTAGCAGTTGCTATGTACAACACTACTGACCAGAGATATCATTATCCTAACTACTAGGCTCAGGCAATGAGACAGAGATGAAATTTAAGTACTAACAGTCCAGAGTGTACTATTCAAAATACTCAAAGTTTAAACAAGTGTGTTCTTTTTTTAATACCTAGATCAAGCAAGCTGCTCCAATCAGGTGGATCCCTGTACAATTACAGAGCCCCACTTAAGTCAATAGGGGTCTATGGAAACACTCTGGGTGCAACCCAGTTTGCCAGAGCAGGAACAAAAATAAATATTTTTATAGGTAGTTCTGCTAGTATCATGAATGTCTCAGAGTTCAAATTGTCAATATTAATGTTATTGACTAGAAAAAGTTTGTAAAAATTATGCAAGTTTCTCCACTGCCCTTTAAAAAAAATCTCAGTCACTATTCTGCAAAAACATCCTGAGAGCAGGGATTTTCTTCCAGGACAAGATATTTAGAATCTATTTAATTTCAAACTACAGTTCATTAGAGGTAATAACTGAAGAGTACGGATTAAAAAAATGCAGCTATTATACACACACACACACACACACTCACTCACTCACACCCACCATCTGTTCCTTCCTCATCTTAAGATTATTATTACTACAGAGGTAGAGTCGAACCCCATTCATCTGGTCTAACTGGAAGTAGGCCAGATCAGATAATCAAAATTCTGGAGAAACCAGATACTGTAATGGGAAAATGCAATGCTGCACCTCCACCTAGTGGCCACTGGAGAGATTGTCCACTTCTGACCCTAGAGTCCTAGGTGTCTGGTAGATGCAGAGAGCTTGTTAAGGGAGGGTCAAATAAACATGAGAAGTGGGATCTGAATTTTTCTCCTTATATCTTCAGTGCTCTGTTCCTGCCACTTACTGATGTCTGTTTTCTTTACACTCATGCTGACCAAAAGGTAACTAGAAGACACTCCTTGGGAGTCATTTCAAACTGAGTTAATCAACAAAAGTGTCATCATTACTTCATTTATGTCTCATGAGATCAGAAGGTTGTCTTCCACTGAGGCTGTATGACTGACTTTGCCATAAACAATGTAAGACTTAAATATTCACATTAAAAAAAGATTTCCTTAAAAAAAAAATCAGATTAAAAGTATTTGTATGTGTAACATACTCAGGAAGACAGAACTAGTTAGGCGGCATTTCCTGGATTAGCCATGCATACATGCTTATCCTGTCAGACACCCTACCTGACTACTAAGAACACCTGTTTTTAATTCTCAGCTCCATTATGCCTCTTACATTTATTTACATTAGGCGTTCTACACTAGGTGCCCTTCAAGTATTTCCTGGAGGCTTAACCCCAAATTCATTCAGGTTGTATTCAGAGTTGTCTAGAGAGTTTAACTTCCAGATTTCCTGTTTCAACACTGACTTACCCACCATCCCTTTCCCCATCCCCAAACTCTTTCAAAGCAGACCCCTACATTTTATGACAGCATTAAAATGACCATGCCTAAGCAGGTTGACTTGGTTGAAGTTGTCACCAAGAAACCAATTAATTTGCTTTTAAAAAATATAGCTCTTAATTTTATAATGGTAAGAATGAAATCAATCCTACTCTATGTCCAACATGAATCAGGAAAGACGTTAGGATACAGGAGGGGGATCTAGGCTTGGGCAGGAGATTGGGTGCAGGGTGGGGGCTTATGGGCTCCCACTACAGACACAGGCTCTGGAGTGGGGATAAAGTGTTTGGGGCAAAAAGGGGCTCCAGCCTGGAGCCAAGGGGTTTGTAGTACAGAAGGAGGTGCAAACTCGGGGAGGGAGTTTGGGTACAGGAGGGGACTCGGGGCTGGGGGTTAGGGCATAGGAAGGACTTTGAGGTGCTTGATCCAGGCAGCACTCACCTTGGGCTGCTCCCTGCAAGCAGCAACAACATATCCCTGCTGTTCCTATGCAGAAGCATGGCCCTGCAACCAGCTCCCATTGGCCATGGTTCCCAGCCAAGGGGAGCTGAAGATCCAGCAGAGCAAACTGAGCCCCCATGGCCATTCCTTCTACTTCCAGGGAACACACAAAACCAGATAGGAAGCCTGCCAGCCCCTACTGAACTATTAACTGACTTTCAATGAAGATCAGAAATGGCAGTTTATAGAGCTTTCCAGCTGATACAGGGTCAAATAACACAGCTGTCACTGTACTGATTTATATTTAGACTTGTGGCAGTAACTTTTGCTACCCACTGTAGCTACTTCAAAAGCTTGTATTTGACATGTATCAATCAATTTGGGCTCCACTGAAGTTAACAGTTTTGTCAGACTTCTGTAGGTCCAGAATGTCACTCAAAGTTTATAGATATTTTAAAATGTATTTAATCTGTATATAGTTGTGACGTAGTAGGGGTACCTGCTGGGCTGTGGTGACCTCTGCTGTCTGGAGCAAGACCCAGCAGGGAAAACCTTATTATGCAAAGGTGACTCCATATTGGTTAAACCAGCCAACCCCCGATGGGGAGAAACAAAGGGAGGTGGAATGCTGCCTGGATGGGGGCAGGGCTTGGAGAAGGGGAGTTAGTTCCTGGCTGGAAAGCAGGGGAGAAGGAACTGGGGAGGGGGCTGGGATTCCCCTATCTCAAGGGGGGCACGGAGGCCTCTTAGCCCCCAGTTCCTGTAACTAGATTACATCTGTGCTGTATCGTGGAGAAGCAATAAACCACCTGTATTCTACTGGCTGGTGAAGTCTGTTCGTGCCATTCCGGGGCTGCAGGAGACTGGGGAACCCCAAGGCACCGTCACAATAGTGTAATACAATTCATAGGACTGATTAATTTAAATTGATTTAAGACCCAAAATACCCAGACAAAAAAATTAGAAGCCAAGGAAGGATCCTTTCTTCAAATGTTAAAGTTTCTGAACACAGACAAATTTCACTAAAAAGCAAACAACACAAACTGAGACCCATCATGCAATTCTCACCATGTTAGTATAGTACAGATTGGACCTCTCTGGTCTGGCACCCAACACGTGACCAGTCCCAGATAAGGGATTTTGCCAGACCAAGAGCGGTCACATGTAGCTCAAACCATTGGCCTCCCAGCTGCTCTGCTGGTCTTCCCCTATTCTCCACTAAGCCAGGCAGCCCTGCATCAGCCCCATGCCCGGCAAGCCCAGTTGTGGTGAGACTGACCACCAGCCCTCCACCAGGACTCTGTGGTCCTAGAATATCTGTAATCCTTCCAGACCATGGATGTTGCTGGACCAGAGCATTCTGGTTTACTGAGGTTCAACCTGTATATAATTAAAATATACTAAGTTCATGTATTTGGAAACATACATTTGCTTTACAACATAAAAAAAGCTATTCACAGCATATTTTGAGAAAGCAATATGATCATAGTAATAACAAACCTTCCTCAGAACGCACCACCATTAAATCTTTGCTGACATAAAGGGGGGGGGGAGCACAGTCTGAGTAAAGTTTAGAGATGTTCAGCTACACATCAAGTTATTTAACTGTAATATTTCAGTTTTAGGAAAAAGCTTGAGTTAAATGAGCAATATTTCTTTGACAATTGATTTCACATTTCCCAGCAGAGTCCACTGAGAAAAAGGACTAATTCTTCATGGTAAAATAGTCTGAAACAGCGATTTTATAATTATACATTTTGTCCCCTCCTTCCAGTAGGTGACACTGTTCAACAAAATGAAAAATTACAACATTCAAATTCAAATACTCTATTGTGTATTGAGAGATGAATATATCGGTGGAATCAGACATAGCTCAATGCTAACACAGGTTTCATATATGAAGAAAATGTACCAATTCATGTGTAATTACAGTGTTTTGAAAAGAAGGAATTTAGTGGAATTTAAACAGAGTGCTTTACAAAATAGCAAGTTACTACTTTAGGAAATTATGTATACACACATGACAAAAAAAACTCCCATACATTCAGAGATGAAATGTCTCATTAACTAGGGATGTTAAAATATGCTTATTTTGGTAAATGTGTACATGTGGGGAAACAGGCAGGAACCAGTGCTCATAAGGAGCCGGATTTTAAGCCAGGTCCTCCGTGCTGCTTCCTCTGATACAGAGGCAACAGCGCAGGGAGAGTTAAGGGGGAGTATAGGCAGCTCAGTGGGAGCCAGTACGTGCTGCATCAGAAGCAGTAGCGCAAGGGGGAAGGTTGCTCTGCAACAGCTGGGCTCACAGGAAGCAACAGCTGGGCTCACAGGGAGCACCATCTCCTTCCTGCTCCCCCAGCTCCACAATACTGCCCCTGTCTCTGGGGGAGGGAGACCACGCATATAACCTCATGGTTACACACAAGGGTTAACGAATGAGCTCAGGCCCATCGGTTAACCATGTACACAGGTATACATTCACATCCTATCATTGGTCAGAGCTTTGTGCAGATGTTTCTAGATAGTAGAAACCTAATCAGCTTTAATAGTATTCAATAATAAAGTTATTGATTTAAAGTTCTTAAACAAGATTACCTCAGAAAGACTTGGTGATGAAAGCAAAAAAAATAGAGAGATTGTAAACTAAACTAATTTAACCCATTTTGAAAAGTCAGATAAAAGGAAAAGTGGCAAAAACTAATTATTATATTTTGGATTTACATTAATTCAATTTCATATTTCTTAATGTTATAATATTGAGATTACAAGCTACACTAGAAAATCTAAAAACTTACGGAAAACTAAGCTGAACCAAAATAAACACAGATTGATAATTAAAACATACATTTATATAGGACATGAGATTAAAAGTAGGAGAAATTAAATCAAAGAAAACGAAAAGGTAAGATTTAGGTCAGTTAAAAAAATATGTAAAAAATTGATTAACCAAAAAGTAAAGAGGTAGGCCTAACTTAAACACAGATATGGGTATCATCCAAACTTACTTCCTGTTCATGTGATGTCTGATTAATGAATGCATGCTTTGTGAAATTCATCTCTTTAACGTCTATCTTCCTAACAACGTCATATACTTTTCTGACCTTGAACACCTGACTTCTTGGGGTTTTATTTCCATTGTAGCCCATGTCATTTCCATTACTGGGAGAGGATGGGCCAATGCGAAAGACATGACAAAATATCCTCACGATCCTTAAGAGACTCTTCATTTGAGCTTCATAGTTACTTGACAAGCTGGGGGGAAAAAATTGATGTTTAAGTATTTTTCTGAAATATATTCAGTATATAAAGGAGTACACAGTCGAATGTTTGGGGATTTAAAGTTCTTCAACGCAGATGGCTAACAAATGATGGATCTTTTCCCAGACCAAATGGTCAAAGAACGTATGCCGTAATTTTTAGTGATTTGTAACCTTATTTATATTTCAACTATTTTGCAATAATAGCTAAAGAAAAATAGCAAATACAAACTTTTAGACTATGTTTTTAGCTTTTGTATATACCTACACCACTTCAGAATCACGGGTAAGAGATGCCATCTCTATTACAGTAAGGTCTTAGCACAACACTAATCATAAACCAAGATGACACAGAAGAAAATGTTCTCTCAATATGAAGTTATCTTTCAGACCACCGTTAGAACTGTGCCAAAGAGGCACTGTGCTACAGTCCATTATTACCCAAGTATTATGCTGAATGTTTTAAATTAGACCCATCTGCCTTTATCAGCAAATGAACCAGGATGACAGAAATCACACTGCTTCCATTAAAACAAGCTAAGTGATGCACAACATGCTAGCTAGTACCTTGCCCAATTTAATATTGTAACAATGTAAACACCACATAATCATGCTTTCTGTTCATAAGCTTCCAGAATTTTTCAACCCTGCTAAAAAGGATGCTTGTCCTCTGATCTGAGAACACCCTAACATAGTATTAAACTTATCGGAATTCAACTCAGTATCTAACCAATATTAAAATACAGTATCAGAATGCCAACTCTGACTTATAAATACAATAAATCAGTGGTTCTCAACCAGGATTTTGGGATTCTCTAGGGGCTGCAAGCAGGTTCCAGAGACTGCTAACCAGGGCTAGGGCAGAAAGCCACATGGAGCTGAAACCCAGGGTCCCAAGCCCACCACTCAAGATGAAGCCAAAGCCTGAGCAACTTAACTTCGTAGGCTTCCCAAGCAATTTCCCTGCTTGCTGCCACCTAACACTGGCCCTAGCTTTTATGTACAGAAAAACAGTTGTGGCAGAACAGGTGGGCCATGGAATTTTTTTTAGCATATTCAGAGGAACATCTCAGAAAGAGAAAGGTTGAGAATCCATGCAATAAATTATATTCTCTGATTTATGAGATGTGTAGTGACACGGCTAGAAGCAGCTCAACTAAGCCAGACGAAAGTACATGTAAAACAGGTTTAAGTCACAACTTGAAGGGAGGTGGGGGGGGGCGGGGTCGCAGTAACAAAGGTTGCTTAAACCCAGGGATTCTCAAAATCAGGCCAACAGGATAGGGAGCACTGTACTAGACAAAGAAACAGCATCTGTTCTGATTCGGTTAGAGGTCTGAATCAGTTCATTCTTTAAGAAAGAAGATGAAGCAGGGGAAACTTTCATTTTTTAAAGAATTACTATTAAATAAAAGGTATGACTAAATTATTTAAGGAGATTAACATTAACAGCTTTTTAGGAAAAGTGAAAGAGTTCACACCTTTCCTGCTGTTATTTGATCAGGTAGTTTTTAAAAAGCCAGGATTAAATTAAAAAAATAGCATTTACATTATAAAGGAAAAGGCTGCATTTACCCCAGTTAAAATTAAAAAATAAATAAATAAATTTACAGATTCAAAATTGTGGTCACCTAAGATCTTGGTCATAATTGTGCAAGTATCACTTGGGAGATTCTTATCTAGCCATCATTCCGAACATCATACATTTTCATTTAAATTATCTGAGACAAACTTCACCCATCCATGTAGATGAACCCAATGGTCTAGTGCCGTGGTCCCCAACACGGTGCCCGCAGGAGCCATGGCGC